GAAAGAGTATTGGTGATGTGGTGAGCAGAGGCCAGCCTGCGCATTTAAATATTGGGCTGGGTGATTTAGGCCCAATAACGTGTATTTCTGTAATTAGACACATGCCAAATCAAATGTGTTGTAGTCTGTGAAACAGAAGTAAAGAGTAGCGGTTCTCGCCCTAATTCTACATGTTTTCTTATCCTGAAACCTTTTAGGTCCTTTTGGTGTGAACCACGGGGTGGAACTCCATTCAGATGTGACAGAGTATGCGAAGCAGAAGCTGGACTTTTTCATCAGGACAAGTGACAGCTTCGACAAGTAAGATCAAATCTGTCCGTGGTTCTGGGTGTCAGTTATAACTTAAACTTCGGATTAAATGGAAAGAAATCAGTTTATTACTGTTCGTGTTCCAGGAAACATGATTAAACCGTGGCAGGAGAGTCAGGGATATGTGTGTATCTGTTCTAATTATTCTTAAAATATTTTGTGTTTTTAAGGGCCTTATGTTTTTTATTTATTTATTAATTTTTATCTTCTTTACAAATTTATTTATTTATGGCTGCGTTGGGTCTTCGTTGCTGTGCACGGGCTTTCCCTAGTTGCGGCGAGCAGGGGCTACTCTTCGTTGCGGTGAGCGGGCTTCTCACTGTGGTGGCTTCTCTTGTTGTGGAGCACGGGCTCTAGGCGCATGGCTTCAGAAGGTGTGGCACGTGGGCTCAGTAGTTGTGGCACGGGGGCTCAGTAGTTGCGGCTCGAGGGCTCTAGGGTGCAGGCTCAGTAGTTGTGGTGCACGGGCTTAGTTGCTCCGCGGCGTGTGGGCTCTTCCCAGACCGGGGCTCGAGCCCGTGTCCCCTGCATCGGCAGGTGGATTCCTAACCACTGTGCCACCAGGGCAGTCCAAGTTTTTTAATTATGATAGCTGAAGGTAATTTCTCACCAGTATAAGAGAACAAATAAAATGTTCATTTTTCCCAATTTTCGTGTTTCCAGTAGAGACAACATTTTATCGCCTACTTGTTTGCAAAATGGAATTGTTGCATTTGTCTTTATTTTTTTATTTTAAATTTATTTATTTTGGCTGTGCAGGCTTTCTAGTTGCGGCCTGCGGGCTTCTCTAGTTGTGGTGCATGGACTTAGTTGCAGCATGTGGGACCTTAGTTCCCTGACCAGGGATCAGACCTGGGTCCCCTGCATTGGGAGCACGGAATCTTAACCACTGGACCACCAGGAAGTCCCACATTTGTCTTTAAATGGCACCATGTAGCTAGCTCTTGCATTTTAAAACAAAGCGTTAAAGTTCTTATTTTAGGGATTAAAATTTTTAGAAAAACCAAATATAATTTTCCCTCTTTTTACTCGGTTAGTAGATCTTGAATAAGATAATAAAGAAAGAAGATAATAAAGATAATAAAAATAGCCAGTAGTGATGCTTGGAGCTTGGGTGATTTAAGCTTGGATTGCGCTTATGATATTGACTCTCATAATATTTGGTTTGGAACTTCTAGGGTTCTGTTTATTACTAGCGTAATTCTTTCTGAAGTCTGGTGTCCAGCTTCTGCCTCTGATTTTGCTGTGTTGCTGTGGGATTGTGCAATGAAAACATGCCCGCGTTTAGTGTAGATTTACCGTGTGGGCTTGTTCTAATGTGATGTATTTAGTTGTGGCAAACGTCGTTTCCTTCAGGTTTGACTTCTGCGAGCCCTCCTTCGTCACCGGCAATTGCCTGGAGATCTCTCCAGGCTGCTCCCAGTATGACCGCGTGTACTGCGGGGCAGGCGTGCAGAAGCAGCATGAGGGGTACATGAAGAGCCTCCTCAAAGTCGGGGGCGTCCTGGTCATGCCGCTGGAAGAGAAGGTCAGGTCCCCACGTAACCCGCGGTTTTGCACACTTAGCTGCCTGCCAGGGTCGGTTCCGGGGATCTGACGTGCACTTTCCTTCGTAACTCTTGTAACAATGCCCCCCATTTCACTGAGGAGGAGACAGGCCGTAGAGACAGCCAAGGCGGGGCAGGTCCTGACTCAGGCGGGCATCCCAGAGCCTGCACTGCAAGGCTGACCTGCCGCCCTCTCTCTCCTCCCTCCTCCTCTTTTCTGTCCTCTCCCCCCACCCCCCAGCCATTCTTTTATGCTTTTTCTAGTATTGGAATTACCGGACACATAAAAAAAATATTAGAGGAATTCTATTTTGGTAGCTAATCTAATTGTTAAATTCCATGGTGGCGGGTACTTTACAGAATCCCTTGCTGAGTGGGAATCTTGTCCAGGTCTACTTGGCTATGCATGTTTCTGTATGTTTTAGATACTGTGTTTCATTGGGAAAACAGATTGCAATAAATGAGCAACCTATCCGTCCCAAACAACTAGGAAAAACAGAAATGACAAATGTTAGGAGATTGTGCGTTTTGGTGAAATTTTCTTCAGTTTTAAAATATTGGCATTAAATTCATTTTGTTTGAAAAGTAATGACTTATTTTAGAAAATCCAGAAGATATGAACATTAAGAAAAACTGTTCACAAAATCCCTAATGGCCGTTAGCGTGATTCTTGTAGCACTCTCCTCTTAGTTTGTATCCTTTCAAAAAGGTTATTGCACACTAAGGTGTTTTACTTAACAGAGTTTGTGAATATACTTTTAAGTTACTTAATATTCCACATCATCATTTTCTAGTGCTTATGTGGTAGCCGGTTGAACCATTGACCACCAGTTCATTATCTGGCTCCTATAATCAGACATTAGGTTGTATGTCATTTTTATTGTTATTTACTGTTATGTAAAGACTGTAGTGAACATCCTTAATAAAAAAAAAAAAAAAAAAAAAGAAAAGATTCTTCAATATTTCAGTTTGTATCTGCAAAAGATAAGGGCTCTGTGTTTTTAAACTTCATAACAAAACCATTATCAACCTAAAAAAGTTCATAGTAATTCCTTAATATCTTGAAATGTCCAGCTAGTGTTCAGGTTTTCCTGGTTGTCTCAAAATCAGGTTGAACAGCTTACTTGAATGGGACCCCATTTAGGGCTGTGCCCTGCACTTGGTGGATTATCTCTTCGGTGTTGTTAATCTCTAAGTTTTCCTTCTTTCTTGCAACTTATTGGTTGAAGCAATCAGGCCATTTGCCTTCGAGAGGTTCCTGCTGCTGTTCAGTGGGGGCGAGATGGTCTCTTTCCAGTTCCCACCCTCCAGAAACCACAGCCCAGGACTCTGTCTAGGCTGAAGCATTGCAGCTGGTTGTGAGGGTCTCTAACGACTTGTACTTGAGAATCGCCCCATCTCCTTACGTTTCCCCCGCCACACGGACTTTTCCTGTAGAGTCCAAGAAGGTTGTCTCATCAGAATCCCCACGTTCCTTCTCTGATTGCTTCCTCTTGTTACCCGTTAACTTCTTTCCCTGTTATATATATTTTCTGTACTAGAAGCTTGAGTATATTTGCAAGAATATCATTAAGTTATGTGTAATTCTCGTCACATCGCATTAGAGGCCCATATTGTCAGGTTTTTTCATTATTAGCGTCTGTGTTTTTTCAGGTTGTGTATAGGAATGATTATATTTAAATAGACACTACCAGTAGTCAGATCTTTTGAATCTTCTCGTTTTGTCTTTGGGATAGTTGACTAAGATAACTCGGACGGGTCCTTCTGCCTGGGAAACCAAAAAGATTCTGGCTGTGTCTTTTGCTCCACTCATCCAGCCCTGCCAGTCAGAGTCAGGAAAATCAAGACTTGTCCAGTTACGTAAGTATGAAGATTCTTACTCACTTTTTAGATCTTTTCACTGTCGTTAGAATTTGAAGAGAAATAAAATTCGTAAGAAACCTTTTAATGTTAAAGAACACTTTTCCACCCATTGAAGCCTTTAAAGTTTTACAAGTGATTTTTAAAAAATCACTCAAAAAATTATAGTCTACGTTTAGCCTATTTTGGGTTATTTTAGGATGTTTGTGCTTGCTATTCAAGGATGAAAAGGAACTCCTAGAAAGAAAGAGAAGGGAAGAGAAGCCTGAGCAGAGGCACACTGGCCGTGAGCTGGACGCCACTGGTGTGCGGGGCACGTACGCCGGGGACGTCCAGGTTAGGGTTAGGGTTAGGGTTAGCAGCCTTTGGCTGCTCTGTGTTATTTGAAGCCACGGGATGGATGCCAAACCAAGGATTAATAGGCATAAGCCGAGAGGAGCTCGCCAGAGTGGGGGTCGTGGGAACGTGAGGTGGCCAGGTGGGTTAGACCCGAGTTTATCATGTAGGTGGTAGAGTCCCTCCCATGTTTTAAATAGAAGATGTGGGGACTTCCCTGGTGGCTCAGTGGTTAAGAATCCACCTGCCAGTGCAGGGGACACAGGTTCGAGCCCTGGCCCGGGAAGATCCCACATGCCGTGGAGCAACTAAGCCTGTGCGCCACAACTACTGAGCGTGCGCTCTAGGGCCCACGAGCCACAACTACGGAGCCCGTGTGCCACAACCACTGAAGCCCGCGCACCTAGAGCCCGTGCTCTGTAATAAGAGAAGCCACCGCGATGAGAATCCTGCGCACTGCAATAAAGAGTAGCCTCCGCTCGCCGCAACTAGAGAAAGCCCGCGTGCAGCAACGAAGACCCAACGCAGCCAAAAAATAAAAAACAACCCCCCCCCCCTCAAAAAACTCTAAATAGGAGATGTGGCACCTCTGTATTCTGGATTCCCTGGTGGTCAGGGGAGGGTGAATTTGTCAAATGCGTGCTCCCTGAAAATCCCACTGGAGTGGGTAGGCAGGCACTGCCCCGCGGGCGGGGAGGGCACCGCCTTCCAGAGCCCCTGCAGAGTTTCAGAAGGTGAGGTCACAGGTGGGCTCTACGACAAGTGTCTTGATCATGCCTGGGTAAGAATCATGAAGACGTGGAGGGTACTCCGAGATGTGGGTTTTGAGACTTCAAAGCAAACGTGGCACAATGAACAATGTCGATGCTATTTAGGGCTCCTGAAGTGAACTTGTAATCTTGTCTCCCGGACCAGAGGTTCTTAGACGAGTAGAGTCATGTTGATGAGGGCAGTGCACATGGAGGCCGTGAGGATGTGGTCATGTGCTGCACAGGGGATGGGGTCAGCTCTCTGATGGATGGGTGAGCGACCAGACTGCAGGCTGAGCTGGTCAGGAGGCCGCTGGGATTTTCTGGGCAAGAGATAAAGACTGAAGCCAAAACATTGGGCTCTACAGTGGCAGGGGCTCAGGAGGCATGTAGGGCCTTTCTGAGGAAGGAGGTGGGCCTGAGATGGCTGGCGTGTTATGGAGTCGGGTCTGCAGGAGGCCCTGACCCCAGCAGGACTGGGTTAGAAGCCGGGGAGCCTTTGGCTGCCCTGTGTTATTTGAAGCCACGGGATGGATGTCAAACCAAGGACTAATAGGATAAGCGGAGAGGAGCTCGCCGGGCTGGGTGGAGGAGGAGGAGGCCAGGGGATGAGGTGGCCCCCACCGATGGCACCTCGGGGTGAGCTGGAGAGGCCAGAGCTGGCCCTTGGGAGGTCTGAGAAGGGGGCGACAGCAAGTGGAGTGGCGTGCGAGGAGTGCTGCCACCGCCTCCTGCTCGGCCGTGTGGGGGTGTGAGGGCCGGGCGAGGGCAGGGCCCCCGTGTCCTGACAAAGGGGAGGAGGGTGCTGCGAGCCGGGGGCGCCTCCAGGGCATTGGGCGCTGAGCAGGTTCAGCTCGGGCCTCTGTGATTCTGGTAAGAGATGTGGGCAACAGAGGAGCCCTCCGGATGGTTTGGGTTGTTACTTTGTGGAGAAGTTAGGTTCAGGGGCGTAAGAAGTGGTGCTGACTTTCAGTGTCGTGCGTTTACACACACGTGGCCCCTTAATGGTTCTCTTGCCCTCAGAAGAGCCCTTCCGTTGCCATGTGTGTGTTGCCTACACGTTTGCCTAAATGGAGCTTTAATTGCCAGATTTTATTTTTCCTTGATGTGCTTTGGGATTTTTGTTCTTAAAAATGTTTTGGAACTGCTTTTTCTCTACTTTAATAAAAAAGGAACAAATTCTTAAATTTCTGAAATACTGTGAAAATATTAAAACAGATAAAAGAATTGTAGAGCCACGTGGTCACTGTATTTCTACCGGATGAGACAATGCATCACTGAACACGGCAAATAGGGAGACGAAGCCGGTTGTCAAAGAACCAAATGCTGTGACCCTGGTTCTCATTCTTCCATTGACTGGCTAGCCAAGCAGTACTCTTTCCTTTTCTTATCTGATTGGAAGGTCAGTGCATTTGAAAATATCTTTTGAAAAATACCATATGAACGCAAGTTAGAGTATAATTAACATTTGCCTACAACACTGTCCTATTTTTGTAATGTGTTTGTAAATACGCCAGTAAGTGAAAATGTGGTTAGAATTTTCTCAGGTGTCTAGGCCTTGTGGGGTCACGAGGGGGAGGCTGACGGTCTCGCTCTCTGCACAGCGCCCCCGGCGGTTCGCAGCCTCCAGGACCTGGCACGCATTGCCATCCGGGGCACCATTAAGAAGGTCATCCACCAGGAAGCTGTGAACAAACACGGGAACGGACTGCAGACCGCTCCCAGCTTTAATCGGAGGAGAGCTCGCCGCCGCCGCCGAATGGAAACGATTGTCTGTTTGGACAAGGAGGTGTTTGCCAGTCGGATCTCCAGCCCCTCTGATGACACCAGCTGCGGAGACCTGGAAGACGAGTGGCAAGACGAAGAGGTGACGAGCCCGCCGGACCCCAAGCCCGAGCCCCCGGTGAACTTCCTGCGTGAGAAGGTCCTGAGCCTCCCGCTGCCAGACCCCCTGAAGTGCTACCTGCTTTATTACAGAGAAAAGTAAGTCTGTGGTCCAGGGGGGGAGCCGAGCCTTCCTGGAGGGCGGCCCGCAGCAGGCGCGCTGGAGAAGGGAGGGGCTTCCGCTCTGCATCGTCTTCTCGTCTGTCCTTGGCTGTCCTATAGAGTTTTCATCCAGTCATCTGACTTCTGTAAACACAGCCTGACAAACGTAAGGTGCAAGGGGGAATGTTGTCTCAGAAGGGCGAGAGTCTCCTGGAGGAGGGGTTGACTTCACACTCGCAGGAGATGCCCAGGTCTACACGTGGAGGTGCCTGGAGACCGTTCCTTACGCAAGGTACACGCGTCTGCGTGAGAAAGGAAAACTGAAGTTGAAATTAACCTGCGCTTCCTATGAAAGGTGAGACAAAAGGCACGAGCTGGTGAGCGTGTAACATCTTTGCTGAGTGGGACATGCCTACGTGCAAGTTTGAATTTTACGGTATCAACCTCTTAATTACTGGCACTGAGTAATTAAAGATTTATTAAAAGATTAATTAAAAAGATTTAACTAAATCTTTTAGTTATTTGGAACGTGGATACTTGATTGAAAAGCCCTCTCTTATTTTAAGTAAATTAATTACATCTTACGTGAGTTGTCACTTGTAATTTTAAAAAACAAAAATTGTGATGGGGAGAGGAATGAACGTATCAAATTGCCAGATGTCTTTGTGGAATTGCAAAAGAATTCCAAGGAATGTTTTTCTGACACCTTTTGTTACCTTTAAAAGAAGCAACATTGCGTAATCCCCTCAAAGAAAGGCCTGAAGAATGAAACAGGTGTTGTGTGTAAGTAATGAGCTACATTACTTTTGCCCCAGAGACAGAGAGTACTGTTGACTCAGCTTTGAATACAGTCAGCGGCGTCTAAGGCTCAGTCCTCAGAGCAGGTGGGAAATACTGGCTGCAGGAAATGGATTGGGGACGAGGTAGACGGCCTGTGGGTTGGGTTTTTTTTTTTTTTTTCAGTTGGCTATTTTTCTGTAATCACATAACAGTACTGACTCATAGATTTTATCTTTTATAATTCTGGAGAAGAATATTGGTTAGTTTTGTAATTTTTCCTAAGGACAAACGCGTGTTTAGTACGTTGCGTTGGGACAGTTTCACTCAAGCTTGACTTGCGGAATCCATCTCCTCCGGCGCCGTGTGTTGAGAGCCTCCCGTCTTACCACGTCGTGGGTCTGGAAGAAGAGGCCGTCCTTTCAGTGAGGTGGCAGGATGTTTACCAGTGACACTGCGTCTTCCAAAACATTGGTTCTCTTCAGACTTTTCAGTTTTAACCAAAGGCTAGTGTAAAGTGTTAACACTAAACCCCAAATCAGAGTGTGCTGCTGGAGGATCAGTCATCCAGATTTTATGGTCAGTTTTATCTCTTAGCCTCTCAGGTGTTGCTGGATTTCAACGTCTTTGTGGTTTTACCAGCTTCGCCGAGTTCTGGTTATTTTGTTTTGCCGTTTATGCTTTTTTAAAGTAACTGAGTCATTTTATCACAGAATACTGTGTGCACACATAGCTGGGAAAGCATGTATATTGCCCTAAATTGGTACAGTTGAGAACCGTTTCTTCACAGTTGTGTTTACCTGTCTCAGGTAAACACATTGTCTCAGAGAGAAGAGCATGAGTCACGTTTACTTGCTAAGGCTTCAGTTTGCAGATCTTGTTGACGTTATTCTAATGGATCTGTAGAGACCTCTGCAACACGTGGACGTTTTTGGACATGTGATATCTGAAATATTTTATATTAGGTGGCTTGACTAAATGTTTTTCTGTAATTGTATATGGATTTCCTCTTTTCTTCACCCACATTTGCCTTTATGCTAGATTGTAAAAACTCTTTACGAGGCATAAGACAAGTTTTCCCCTATATATGTTAAACCTTTCCTAACGTTTTGTATTTACATGTTGGTTTGTGACTTTTAAGCCAGAATTTGGTTACAAGATATCTATATCTATATCTATCTATATCTATCTATCTCTATATATATAGATATAGATATTGGATATAATATATGTGAAATAATTTGGTATTGATCTATCTAATAAACATAAAGGAAGAATCATCAGTGAGTTTCCCTGTGTGTCAGCACCTTTCTCCAGAGTCAGTCTGGGACACTACTTTCTGTTTTCAAACAGATGAATTATATATATAGTCTGTGTTGTCTGCAAGCTCTGTATTGTAAACCACATTCTAGACAGTGGCTGACTTTTATGTTTTGATTAGTCTGTATTTTTATATGTGACTTTCGTCTTGAAAGTAGTACAGCCATAGACGTGCAAAACAAATAACAAATTTATAAATATTAAGTATATAATGTAGGAATCAGCTGTGTATTTAAAAATATTTTTGCCCACCTGGAGCTTTCAGGGGATTAATGCAAGAAATATGAAACAAAGGTTTTAATGAACTGAACTGATACAAAAGATACCAATAAAGGTAGTTACGACACTTTAGCCTTCTTGGCATTCCTTCTGTTTCCTGTGTGGAATTAAAATTCTTGGCTACATTTTTTTTTCAAAAATGTTTTAAAATAAACTTAAAAAAATTAGAATCAGGGCTTCCCTGGTGGCGCAGTGGTTGAGAGTCTGCCTGCCGATGCAGGGGACACGGGTTCGTGCCCCGGTCCGGGAGGATCCTACATGCCGCGGAGCGGCCGGGCCCGTGAGCCATGGCCGCCGAGCCTGCGCGTCAGGAGCCTGTGCTCCGCGACGGGAGAGGCCACAACAGTGAGAGGCCCTCTTTTTTTGCGTACTGCAAAAAAAAAAAAAAAAAAAAATTAGAATCATGTGCTTTCTTTCACTGTTTGCATTATTGCTGAATTCTGTACCATTGTAGCACACCTAGGGGAGGCATGATATGTGATTAAACACAGGAAGTTGGAATAGACAGAGTCTGGCTACATGAGAGCATAGGCGTCTGGAGAGAGTCTGGTTAGTTTTTTGGCACGATTTCCCCATATGGTGAAAATGTTAAATAAAAGATATTGGGTAATGGCATCATATCTTGTGGGGCAGCAGGGGGTGAGGATGAGGGTTCAGGGTTGGCGTTGGGGTCAGGCCAGGGCCAGGGTCAGGATTTAGTGTCAGGGTCAGAGGGTCGTGGTCCAGACTTAAAGGTATTGAGGTGCTATTGTAAATGAGCTTTCTTTTTTCTTTTTCATTTAAAATTCCAGTTTTTCCCAAACACCGTTGCTGATTGTTTTAATCCATCTGGGCTGCTATAACGAAATACCAGTTGGGTATTTTAGGTGGCTTATAAACAATAAAAGTGTATTTCTCACAGTTCTGGAGGCTAGAAGTCTGAGATCAGGGTACCAGCGCGGTCGGGTGAGGGTGCCCTTTCTGGTGGCAGAGTATATTACAGACAGCCCATGCTGCTCTTGCTTCAACAGGCCGTTTTTCTGTAAGCACATTAGAGCACAGTTTTGGGTGGTGAGAGCAAAGCCAGGAGGCCGCTGCAGTCAGTAGCCCTGAGTGAGTGGTGGGAGGCGTGTGGCGGGCTCCGCAGGGACGGTTGTCTTCCCACTGCGAGCACAGAGCCCTTGTTTTCTGGACTTTGTCACGTGGTTAATCCGAACTGTCTCTGGG